CCGCCCATCGTGTTCTCCTTTTCCGGCTATTCTTACTCCACATTGGCTCTGCTATCAACCGAGGTGGAATGACCCGAGCCGGTATTCGGCTTCTCCTTCTCTCTCTCTTCTCGAAGCACCTGATGTTCTTCGTTTCCCGAACCTCTCGCAACGCCGGCGCCAGACAGAACAAGAGTGTGGGGTTCTGGACTCGCCGGCACATCCCCCATCTGTTGGCCATTGGGACGACGCCCATTTCACCGTCCCCCCCTCCATTGCGATCTCCCGCCATTACTTGCCGCTACTACCATCGTGCAGCGGCCGCGGTGCACGATGAGATAGATGGATGGCCCCTCCACTATTGGAAACGGGCCACAATGATCCGAGCAGCTCCATTAGTAGCACCCCGACATCTTCCTTCATCCTCAGCCCCTGACAAGTACGAACCTCAACGGTTCAATGAAGCAACTTGTTCGCACACCACGCTCGTTCGATGGAGACGCTAGAGGCCCAGTACCTAGCTACAAGCTACGACGGATTTGACCGCTCACCGAAACGAGCAGGACCCGGCCAAGAAACTTGTCGGGTCAGCCCATCTCACCGAATCACCGGCCGTTGCATCACCGCTCCTTGCCGTTGGTTTCCGCCTCGCACACTGTGTGCTGATACCATACGCCGTCTGCTCCAACTGTCAAACCCTAACCAGGCGCCAAGCCCTCCAAAGCACAACTCATACTGCATAACTGACAAAAGGAATCCTTCTCGGAATGAGACATCGTCGGCTGCGGCAGGATTGGACATAATTCGCCGCATCTTGCATCCAGTGAGGCACACTACGGGCTACAGAAACCGCTTGCCGAACCGAGCAATTCCGGTCTTCTTCCGATTTCCAGCCTCCACCTCCAGCGCCAACGCTCCGCTCCCAACAAAACCGCTCACGTGAGTGCACTCATGTCGAACCGAATCCCAACCGAGGAGCAAGGACGCATCATTCCCCGTGCATTCCTTGATGAACTGTCACATGTGTTGGCCCATACGGTGCTCGTACATGGTCCTTCGCCCAATCACGTACGCAGCCCGGTCAACTCAACCGGGGGGGGGGGGGGGGCTGTTTGGCCTTTTCCGGCTTGAGTCAAAAGTACAGACATGATCTTATCGTCAGTTATCAATCTCATCAAATCAATCACATCTAATCAGATTTAGCAATCTCCGAGACCGGCTCCTCCACCCTTGATGGCGATGCTGGCTTGGCAAGCCTTCCCAACACAAATCGAGACCATGGGCCTGCGCAACCAAAGCCCGCTCGCGTCTCCTCCTCGTACGCACGCCTCTGTCTCATCCTCATTTCCCACTCGCGACTGTTCGTAAATAGTTTACTTTCCTAAGGCTTCCCCTTAAGCCTCCTGGCTACCGTTGTGCTGCTCCACCGCTGCCAACACCCCTTTATATGGCATGGGTTCGATCTGATAACTTACTTCTCCTCTTCATCAAGCCCGTTGGCCACCCGACACTCTCGTACCTTCGGCTACTGACCTTATTCACTAGGTCCGTTCGGTGACTCCCGGTTTTGTGTTCACCCTATTTCAATCGCTCCCAAACAGCTCCCTACCGTCACTGTCATGTCCTGCTGGTGTCGCTCGTCTGGTTTGCTTGCTCCCCGACCCATGCTGTTACTTTGGGCTTGGAGCTCATGCACAAGGCATCTGAAACTATCCAAAGAATCCATACTTCTAGGTTTCCGGTCATGACTCACCGACGGAAACCAGGACGAACTTCGTCTGCGCCATTCGGGATTCAGAAGCCAAACTCCTGCGATATTGTTGCGTTGCCATGGGTTTGTCTTAATCTGAAGTCTTCACTTGCTGCCGTGGGTGCGAGTACTTCGTATGTCAAAAATACACGTCAGAGACTACCCCATCTAGTATCGTGGGGCCTCTGGCAAGACCATTCCTTCTCAGCTTCCCATGTCCGCCCCAGCACCTTCGTATTCGCACGTGGACTTCGCATCACTAAGCCAATTCACATCGACAAGGTTCATCGATCACAGTGCGTACGTACATACACCAGCCACTTGGTCTCTCCACAACGAAGGGTACGGCGCCAGTCCGAAGGCGCGTTCCTGCGTTTCCGCCACCCCAGTAGTCGGTCCATTAGCCATTGCCCCGGGACTAGCGTAGTCCAGCCCTGGCTCTACGTACAGAGCGTATAGGGATCGCTGCCAATTCATCTCGGCTGTCTCTTGGGTACTATCTGTCCAGACGAGCACGATGCCATGATATGAATTGTACTGCCGATTTGGTTGGAGGTGGCCTGCTGCCAGACACCATAGTCCCCGTTTTATTTCGATATGTTGGTTCATGGAGAGCCTTGGGATGTTGTGGAAACGAGATGATGAACAAATCCGCTGTCAGAGGGTCATTTGGCCGTCGGAAGACCTATCAAAGGCCGGCCGAGGGCCAGCCGAGTTATCTGCTGTCAGGTGTTGGTCCCTGATCAGGGTGTTCGGTCCGCGAGTGCTCGACTGCTACGGCACGGAACGTGTGGCGTGTCTATCGCTTTTTTCCTTCACTACATAATCGTACACTAGTAAGCGTATACTGGTAAGTATGCAGTGAATTGTCACCTGGTTGCTACCCATCATGAGTCTTGGAACGGCCCAGGACGGCAACAAGCAGCACCTGTCCTGGTAGTCAATATCTCCGCCAGTCCTTTTATACGTACTCAAGACATTAATGATCCCTTATCCAACGTCAGGTAGATGCCGGTCAGATCACTATTGGCAACTCGGCGTCATTGCTCATTGGTGCAGCGAACCTCTGTTCACGGTGACAGTCGTATATGCTGGAAAGGCCATGCAGAGATATCGTTGTCCCCGGAAACAACTTTGGGCGCTGCCGTCGACCCATCAACGCAGGTCGATGCCGCTCGGGACTCTATATGGACTCTCTACAACGGGTCTCTACGACATCGGTGGCTCTCTATTCTCATCGCCGTCGCCGTGGATGGTGCCTTGAAAGTAATAGACGTGCTCAGTGCGCTCTAAAGCTTGTAGAATGGCATAGCGTGGATGTCTAGCACGGAAACAGCTGAGAGAAACAATCTCAGTATTCCAAATCGCTAGCCAGACCACTTTCTTCTTTCGTCTCAGATACGACCAATCTTCAATCATCGACTATTCACGATCACGTCAGGCTGCACCTCGTCCGCAGATAGAAGGAATTTCGCCACTTCCCCCTTCTCAAAGACATGAAATCGTCAGCCGGCTTCGGCTTCCTGAGGACCGAACCACCGGCAACGCCTCGGGTACATGAAGACCTAATATCCCAAGAGCTGTACGCGTCGTCGACGGGATCAAACCCGCAAACAGTACAACCAGCCTGCCATGAAACAACAAGCCGAAGAACCAGAGCCAACCAGAGATGAAAGTCCCAGTTGTTAAAGTTTGTCTCACGAGTCGTGGAATGTTTGTTCCCCGAGCTGGTTCGTCCTCGACCTTTTCCCGGGCCACATGCAGCGTCGCGTCTTGTTCATAGGTCGGGCGTACAAGAAACGAGTTAACGGATACATTATCAAGATAAGTAACCAATAACTTTGCCAGAGGCGACCTCATCGATATACGATTCGTATATGGGTGCGTACTGCGGACGCTTGAGATAAGTTCCCAGGGCGCTGCTGGTGGATCTGGTTCAGCCTCGTGGAAGACTGCTCAACTCTTGGCGTGCGGCAAAGGTTGTCGATTATAAAGAAATACACAGCGCAATGTATTTCCACTAGAAGACCCAGAGTCTGTAAGTCTTATTGCCTGTCTTCTTGCAACGCACGCCGTTCAAGACCTCAACAGGTCTTCAACAGGGGTTTTTTTGGGGGGGGTTTTTTTTTTTTTGCTACATAAAGGTTCCAATGCGCGTTGTCTTTGAGGTTGAGCAAGGAGACATCCGATGCCCCCGGCCGCGCCCTGTATATTAGCGATCGCAGATCGAGAAGAACCAGATGCGTTGGGGCAACCTCTCTCCTCTGCAAGCGCAATCAACAGCCTGCGGAGTTTCTGGACATTGTGAAAAAACATGGAAAGAGCAAGCCCAAAGACCAAGATACGACACCTTATCCCACCTACTTCACCAACTTGTGTTCCAAAGGGCTGAGGACGATACACCAGCGTCATATGATGTATTGCGCGGAGCCAAGACCAGTGATGGCTGTGAACCCCGGGGAACCAAAAGTCAGATGCCACTCCTGTGACGCGTTCCCGTGTCCTGCATTACGCTCATACCATCAAGAGGCACGCGCGAAATATGGAAGAATGAAAGTGAGTCAGTCTGTTACCAAGCTACCGGGTGTTGTTACCTCAAGCTTTTCCCAGGAGGACTAGTTGGTGTGCCACATCCGAGTCAAGGCTCGGGATGCGCCCGAAAGGATAGCAGTAAACGCAAATTCCGTCACAACTTTATGTTCAAGTCGCCGAAGGAGCCAGAAGGACAGACGATCAGACAATCAGACTCTGGACCTACCGTATTTTGATTTCTATGCTAAGTGGTCATTACGCTACTAAAATAACCGCCCTTAGTATTGTCTAGCTCGAACTTGAACTAGAGACCTTCGGTGGAGGAAACGAGGCCATTCGAACGTGGCCCGGCTAGCCAGAAGCTAACAGCATGAAGGTTGGACCTGGCGTCTTCGAGCTACTTTACCAAAATGCCAAATGAACGAGTTGTCGAGATCCAATGGGGGGGAGGGACGTGTGCACAAGTTCCGAGCGTTTGAACAAGGCGTGCCCGGGGAGGTGGGGTGGGGTTGCCAGTGTGTGCGCGTTTGTGCTCTGGCCACAGGATGCTGCCGACTCGTTCTCATGAGTCGGGAGTAAGTAGACTTTGGTGGCCGGCTTGAGTGCCGAAGTCTGAAGGGTCTTGGTCATTCATTGTGGTGAATATGTGTTGAAACGAGTATCGGGTGGAGTCAATCAACCCTTGCTGGCCCTGGCGATATATATCCCTCACAGCCACTGGATCACGTCGAAGATCGTGGCGGACATAGCTCAGTTGGGAGAGCGTCAGACTGAAGCGGATTTGGATCCGAGAAACTTCATTCAAACTATCTGAAGGTCGTGTGTTCAATCCACACTGGCCGCATCTTCAATTTTTGCGCCAAGAAGGTCCAGTCCCGCTGGCTACCACCAACCACTTGGGACAGACAGACAAGACGGGTGGATATAAATAATAATAATAAGGATGGAACTCGTCGAGAACTCTATTTTTGTGCTGCCGATCTGATCTGCATGCCTGCTTGGACTTCCTTCGTCTTGGCAGTTGGTCAAATATGCTCTCTCGATCGATAATGTCTGACTTGCTGCTCCGTGAATACCAGAAACCAGCCTCTGCCCGCGATTTTATTCAAATGGAGCTGCCTGCATACGGGAGCAACGAAACTCCGGTGCGTTGATACAGGATTAGGCGTTCACCGAGTGTGGCGGAGTGGTTTCCTTCCATTTGTCCATTCATTGCCATTGTTCACTTCTGATACCTGGCGGCCGATGCCGTGCCGCGTCATCAGGAACTGGATAGATATCATGGGACTGGGACCTGTGCTGCTTATCTGGATGGACGGACCCTTGCCTGATTCAATGATTGGGGACCAGGTTCAGACGGGGGCAGATGGGTAGTCTGTCGTTGGGATTTCCCCTTATGGAAGTGCACATTCGTGTATCGACACGTGTGGCGACAGGAGGGTAATCAGCCCCCAAGTCGTCCGGTCAGTATGAGGAGCGTAGCTCCATGCAAAGAACGGTCAACGAAAGTTGGCAAGTATCGCGGCAAAACCGCGGATATCGTCTATGTTCACGGGCTATCCGGCATCGACGACGACATTGATGCGTTATTTTCTTTTCGGCCCGGATTGGCGACGTCTGCTCACTGGTTCCCAACGTTGTGAGAAATGGTTATGCAGCACGGTAGGTGAAGCACACGTAGTCCTCGGAGCCGACAACACAACAGCACCGTAACAGACTTTGCAGATGTGGAAGCCGGCTGCCGTCTTGGCAGACAGGCAGCATGGTTATGGACTGCTCCGGTGCAACCAGTATGTAGGTAGGTATTTACATTGGAGTTTCTGACATCCACCAAAAACGATGCCTGCACGGAAAGGTTCCTCAAGTGAGAAAAATACGAACCCTTGTCAGGGGGACAACAACAACGACGACGACTGGGGGCGGGCTTGGCAGTGTGTTATTTGCTTCAAGGGATGATCGTGGACGAACCGTGAGCAATTGTATTTGGTGGCCATGTTCCCTGCATGTCGCATACCCCTTCCAGCTTTGGGAATCATGTCATTTGTGTGGTATCTAGATGCGCCGCTTACCTCAGGGCTCCGTGCACGTAGTGAAGGAGAACCGCTAGGCATTGCGGGACATCGGTTAATCCTGCCCTCGCGGAGGATTACCCATGCACCTATTCTGGGACATCATCCTTAGTAGGCAGGGTATGTGTTTCCTCCTAAAGTTGCAGCAACCCTTGTGTATTCTGGCAGCGAAAGACGCCGTGGTGATTTCAGCTGCGAGGGAAAATGTACAAGTTTGGGCCATTGTGTGGAACGGAGTAGAACAAAGACAATGAACAGCCCGGACAGAGATGGCGACGCCCATGACTATGCCGTCGATGAGGGTTAGATACCTAGCGGCAGAATCCGAGACAAGGCTTCATAGTTGTCAAGGAATACCCGGTTGTTGTCGGTCGGTTGGTTGTCACATCGTCAAAGCAGGCGGCTCTGGTGTTGGAGATGTTGTACTTGTACCTAGCTGGAGGCGGGCGGCACGGGTGACTCCCCGTGCAAACCTTTTCAAAGTTTGCTCGTCGTAGGAAATCTGTACAACCAACCAGGTTGCCAGGTTGGGCGATATCGAATATCGGATTTCCCAGACATGTTGCATGGGTGGGACGGAGAGAGTGGGCTCGGGGGCAGATCCCAAACTCGGACGCAACGGGCAATAAAAGCGCGTAATCGAACAAGTTCATAGTGTAGAATAAGAAAAAAGAAGGAGAAGAAGCTTATTGAGAAAGTCGAGGCGGCGCTTCGAGAAGGCAAGGCCTGGTGGGTTGAGGTCAGAAGATGGTCGGAGATGGGATGAATGTGGAGGAGTTGCGCAACACTAACAATTTCTGGCGCGTCTCGGCCGCTAAGCGAGCCGAAAGATGCCCCTGGATCCGTGCCAGAGAGACGTACATCACGAAGACTAGAGACTGTTCTTGGATGTCTCTTCCGGGGCGAAACGGGAGAAAGAGTACTTGAGAATACATACATACCTGTATGGGTCCCTTTTCTTTTTCTTTTTCTTTTCCCCCAAGAGGGGTAAGCACGTGCAGGAGACAGCTGCCCCTTCTCCAGGGGAAGTTTACCTAACACATCAGTGACCAAAGCACCTACTCATTATCAAGGTTAGGTATTCGCACAACGTCAACATCAACATTGGCAACAGTAGTAACCACGAGACCGGCTGGGTCAAGGGATGCAGTTGACGCAAGGACGCCGGGCGATGGATGGTAATTCAAACGTACGCATCAGCCACTAGTGAGTCGATGCTTGGGGCTCTTCTTTGAAGCACGGCTGGTGGCAGCAAGCTAAAATCCGGAGGTGGCAGCTCCCGAACGACTCCTGCTAACCTCCATGTTTCAGATGCGCCTGGCAAGTCCGCGAAACTGCCCTCGACGCCCAAGGAAGCAGAAGTCGATCACGTCCCAGTCGGTCCAAACTCCCAAACCCTCCGGATTTCACTCGTGCCCAGCTCAGGCGCAGGGACAAGCCTACCGGCCCCGATAAGGCGAGGTGCCGTCGGGGTCGGGGTTGCTTGTGTTGTGTTTTGGCCCTGTTGCCGGGAGGGCAGAGTGGGAAGCCCTGTTGCATGTCGTCTGTGTTTCTGGTATGTGCGCTCGCGCGCCGCGCGCCGTATCGATTTTCGATTTGATCTGTACCTTTCCTTTCTTCTGGATTTGTCTTCTTTCGGTTTAATCATAGCTTCCACTGCTTAAGAGACTCAAACCACCATCTTATCTTATCTGTTTTTCGTCCTCTTCGACCTTGGGACTCGCGATATTTGAAGGCCGACACCAGCTACAAACCGGATCACTACTTGAAGAGACTGGGGGACGAACGGGGCGCTGCCAAGCAATCAACTCTTGTCGACTCCTGGCGTTCGTTTACCTGGCTTTGTCTCCTGTCGAAAACGAAAAACATTTATGCCATCATTAGGCCGTCGACTTTGCACCAGGCCTGGCTGGTAGTTTGCTCATTCTAATGGCCAATGTGTTGGAGACATACCTAAGTCGTCATACTTCCCCTCGCGCCGCGGGAAGGCAACTTTTATTCATTCGCGATAACGAGGCGATCTGATTTCGACATTGCCTGTGTCAACACGGTGTCGCTCTAATTCCCCCCCAACCTCTTAGAACCGATCCTTTACGCATACTCCAATGAATCAGACATCAACCATGTCGTCCATGCCAATGGAACTCAACCTGCCTCGCGTGGTATCTGGGGGCCGGCACGTTAGCTATTATGTCGCCATCAGCACGATACTCGTGGCAGTCTGGCTGTTTCAGTCCCGGAAGAAGACGCTCCCCAACATGCCTTTCTACAAGGCCGCCAAGACGAAGTGGATGTTTGACGCAGAGACGTTGATCCGCGATAGCTACAGCAAGGTACGCTGACGCAGTCAAAGTTTTGTTGTCGTTGAGTTACTTATAGCATCTTTAGTTTCGCGATACCGTATACCAAATCAAGGCCACGGAGGGTCTGCAAGTACTGGTACCTGCAAGCCTGATCGGGGAGCTCAGAGGCTTGCCTGAAGACATCCTTAGTGCAACGGAGGCCGTAGATGAGGTATGTCTCTAGTATCATGTCACTCGCCCATCATACTAACCATCTAGGCCATGTTGAGCAAATACACAAACTTCACCTTGGGTGACCACGCCGACATGCTGTCGACACTCGTAAGGTGCAAGCTTTCACAGAACCTTGCGCGTCTTGTGCCACAACTCAAGGGAGAGCTCGAACACGTCGTGGCTACAGAGTTTCCTGACTGCAATGGTAAGCCGGCGACTGGCATCTTGACCGCTCAACACTGATCATTCTAGATTGGACACCGGTAAAATTCCAGCCTTTCGCGCTTCGAGCTATCGCACGGATCAGTGGTCGAGCCTTTGTTGGCCCTGACATCAACCGACAGGAGCAGTGGATGGACATTAGCATTAACTTCGCCATCCACGTCTTCATTGCCGTTGTGAAGATGCAGCTGTTTCCCGAATGGGCCCGGCCTATCGCGCAGTATGGGGTGTCTGAACTGAAACAAATTCGCAAAGACGTCGACAAGGCCAACGCGATGCTGAAGCCAATTATCGAAGAGAGGGTGCGGGATCTGGAAATGCCGAGCGGCGAGAAGTCGCCAGATGACTTGATTCAATGGCTTGTCGAAGCCCTACCGGAAGATGAAAAATTGGACATAAGGTCTCAGGCACACCTACAGCTCATTTTGGCGGCCGCCTCAATCCACAGTACCAACAATCTGGTCACCGACTGCATTTACGATCTCGCAGCGCACCCAGAGGCGCAGGACATGCTGCGGGAGGAGGCACACCAAGTTCTCGAGGTTGAGCACGGCTGGGCAAGGAAAGAGAGCATGGCTAAGCTGAAGAAGCTGGATAGCTTTATGAAGGAAACCCAGCGACTTGCAGGAAACATTAGTGAGTTGAACGTGACAGGTACCAAAGCCCGGACTAACAACTCTCAGCATCCTTCATCCGTAAGGTCGTCAAGCCAATTGACCTCTCTGATGGAACTCACTTGCCCCCAGGCACCAAGGTGCTTGCGCCACAAGCTGGCATTTCGCACGATGAACGATATTTTGAGGATCCCGATACGTTCGACGCGCTGCGGTTTTACAAACTACGACAACAGTCCGAGGAGGATGCCAACCGGTGGCAATTCACCAGCATTAGCGACACCAACATGAATTTTGGCGCCGGCAAGCACGCCTGCCCTGGCAGATTCTTTGCAGGGAACGAGATCAAGCTGGTCTTGGCATATTTCCTGCTCAACTACGACATCAAGCTTAAGGACGGGGAGACGCGGCCAAAGCCAACTA